TTGTTCGTAAATATTCATAGTTTTACGCATGTTTTCGCTAGTTTTCGACTATTTACGTTTCGCTTTACTATGCCGTAAATGTTCGTAATTATTACACTTACGTAATATTCTGGAGTTACTATAGCATAAACGTTCGTAATTATTACACCTACGTAATACTCCGAACTAATCATAAATTTTTGTAAGTTTACGCTCGCATAAAAACTTGCAGAGGTTTATGCCTATTTATTTTTGCTGATGCCTATGTTAATCTTATATAGAAATAGGAGGTAATATAATTTGCTGGAATCTAAGTGAATTGAGTTCGGGAAGATATTAGATGAGATAAGTTTGAAAGGAGGGATCAGCTCTTAAAAGATGTCTTTCTTTTGTAAATTGGCATATATGTTTGCACTACACAGAAGTAAGAGAAAATATATTCTGCTTGAACATTGGTGGAATAAGTCTAAAAAGAAGGCAAGATGTAATCGGTTTAAATATAAATAACTAAGTATCAAGCTATAGCAGGTTTTTAAATACAAGTAGCACCATATATAAAGCTTGTTGGCAACATCAGTATGATAAGCATACTTGGATACTTTTATAGCAGCCGGGTATTTGTCTAATATATAAATTAAATAGTGAATTTTGTAAATTACAAAAATTTTAATAAATTAGTGTAAGGTTATCAAAGTGAAAAAAAAATTAAATAAACTTACCTGTTGTTTACTTGTTACTTTTTGAAATTGTTATTAGAGTAGCTTTGTAGTATAAATAGATTTGCATTTAGTGTATTTAAACATAGTAATTAATAACTATTAGCCTGATCTTTGATAAATATTTAGTTATTAAATTATTTTAAAAATTTATACTTTTTACTAAAATAGCCTGGATAGGCAAACTACTTGTGATTTTTAAGAAATATATAAATGGAAAAGTATTTTTTGTATATTTGATATATAAGTTATTTATATTGTTTAGTACTAATTGATAAGTAATACTTATTAATTTTGTTAAATCTTATGATTTAACAAAAATAAATTTGACCTAACGATTACTTATACCAAAATTTCAACTAACAAAAAACAAAATTTTTGTTGGAGAGATGTGGCTCTATAGTGCGATTTGTTTAAAGATCAACTGCTTTTCTAAGAGACTTCTTTTAAAGAACGTTTGGCATGCAAGCTAGAAGCATTATTATACAAGATAACTGGCAGAGACTTGCTACTCTGGTGCTTTTGTATGAAAAATCTTAGTGAAGGAAGTAAGTTATATAGTAGGCTACTACTTCGTTGACGAAGCCCTAGACCATTATTTCAAAGAAGAACACAAGAGAAAAAATAAAAGTTTTAGATTTTAATACACTCTTTAGAAGTTTTGAAAGTACCTGCAACTGAAAACCTTCTACTATATTTTCTCTATTTTGGAATTTTTTTTTGAAAATTTGACCGAAAAGTGAGAAAACCAGTATACCCTCTCCAAAAGATCGGCAGTGTTTACTCTTTCAAATTAGAATGCATCTACTGAAATAAAACTTTTCATAAGTTTATTTGAATTATACTTTGTCAAATAAACAATGACAGTGGTACTGTTTACAGTATAGAGGATTGGAGGGATCATGTATAAAAATTTCTTAATATTAGATATTTTCTTTTATTTTCTTTTCCACTTCTATTATTACATATAGTGTTAGATTTGATTTTATTCTATACAACATTATATAATTTATATAGCCTCGCACAGGCAAAAATAATGCCATCATAGCCATCTTTTTTTAGCCTTTTTTTTCTTTTCTCTTTTTTTTCTTTTGTTTGTTTTTTTGCTTTTGTTTAGTTTAGATTTTTCCCTTTTAGTATTCCTTTTATTTTGTAAATTTTCTATTGTACTTTGATAAAATTCTTCTATCTAGGAGGCTAGGTGAAGAAGGTTAGGAAAGAAGACAGTTATGATGGGCTGATGAACCAGGTTGGTAAACTAAAGTGGGTTAGCTTAATATAGGCTGAACCAAACTGGGGAGACTAAAGTCATTTTTGGCATGTCGCACACAGATACATGAATATTTAGGTATTCTATATAAGTAACTAGGCGAGTTATATACCCATATTTTAGATGTATTCTTTTTTTTTTGAATTAAATTAATGATAAATAAAGCATGGGCATATAGCATGATTGCTAAAAAAAAAAAAAATACTGGTATATTTTCATGTTGAAAAATTCAAGTCTTGAATAAATTGTTAACCATAGTATTTAATAAAGTTAAATACAATTGTATGCATCCATATCTTTGAGTATCAGAAAGTATTTCTACAATAAAATCTATAGCTATTAATAAATTTTTTTTTTGTTTTTCAATATAAAAATCACATATATATGCTGTTACAATTGCAAATAGATCGTTGGTATAATATAACTGAATTGGGCAATTAATTGCATATTTATTTAGGTTTGGCCCTGATAGAAGTATCAGATTTAGTAGATTTAGAATATTTAGGATATTCGGGATATTTGGCATATTTTGCATATTGGGGATATTTGGGATTTTGGAGACATTTAGCACATATAGTATATTTAGCATATATGGTATATTTATTATATAGGCAAATAGTATATAAAGATAGCATTTATTATAATATAAAAGCAGATTAGAATATCTCAAGTTTTTAATAAACTGTTTATCAGCCAAATCTATGCCTCTTTTGAGAGTAGTATTTTTTGAGTAATTACATTTGGTGATTACTGTAAGATCCGAATAATATCCATCTAAAAGGTTGAGTCATCTGGACCAACGTACTGAGTCCGAAGTACTATAACAATTTTGAAGAATCGAAATACATACTGTAATTAAAAAAAAAAAAAAAACCAATGGTTATAAGTCTATTGAAAGTAAAGACTAATGGCTATAAGTCTATTGAAATTAAAGACCAACGTCTATAAGTCTATTGAAAGTAAAGACTAATGCTATAAAACTATTAGAAAAAAGAAAACTAACAGATATAAGACTATTAAAAATAAAGACTAATGGCTACTACTATTGAAAGTCAAAAGAAACAATGAAGTTAAAGTCAAGTCTTAAAAGAAAGGCAAAGGAAAGCCAAAGCTGAAGCATAAAGAAAGGTCAAAGTAGAGGTCTAAAGAAAATATTAAAAGTTGAAATTAAAGTGAAGAAATTATAAGCGATTAGAAGATAAAGTTTCTAGAACAAGCGTATCATCATTATACTTCTCTAACATAACATAGGATGGCTCCAATATGAAGCAAGAGAAAGAAAGATTAAATTTTTTTTTTTGAAAAGAACCTTGGAATCGAAGTATCAGAAAAACTAAATCAGCAACAATTTTTTTTTAGAACAACAAAACTAAGCAAAACATTTAAGTACAAGAATTAGCAATTATGTAACCTAAGTGTAATTTGAAAGCTTAGTCAAAGAGATCGATGAATAAACTACAATTAAATCTAAAAGTGACGAACATAAGCTCTAAAGATTTACAAATAAACACAAGAATATATAGTCATAGTGACGAAGACAGTTATAAGAATTAGCATTAAGACAATAAAATATAGAACATATATATTAGAATTGATAAGTTGGAAAATTCTATCTAAGTGACAGACTTATGTGTAGAGATTTATGAATAAACTTTTAATTAATAATTGCCTAAAGAACAAAATGATTACCATAATTGTAATCACCAACATGACCAGAAGATTGATATAAAGACTCAAAATAGAATAATTTTTAACTTTTACTTTAAATTTTTTTTTTTTATCAAAAAAAAAAATATACGAAGTCTACCAAATTTACCAAGAAATGTCTGAACAAAAATCAAAACATATCAAGACTAGAACAAAGAAAACTCAGTATAAAGAAAGAAAAATCTGAAACCCCAAATCAAAGCAAAGGCAGTTATCAAGATAAATGCATACAACAATTAGAAATCAAATGCAACAGGCTTCTGGAAACACTTACCTCAGAAGAATTTGATGAAGTCCAAAATATAGTTTATGAAGTTCTTGGAAGTTAGCCAATCGATAATATGCAACTTTTGCAAGCCCTGGAATTGACATTAGAAATTCTAGAAAATTTCACAAGCGACAAAGAAGAAATAGAAGAAGTAAAGCTGATTATCTACTTATCACCATATATCAAACTAGCATCAACTTCGGAACATACTGATGGAATCGAAGATGAAAAGGATGAACACAAAGTATTCATCAACGATTAAAAGCTAACAGAAATGATCCAAGTTAATAAACCGTATATTCCTTGCTACGAAAAAGAAATTGAAGCCAATAAAGATGAATATAAGGCTTTCAATTACCAAGAATTGGTGATGAACTATGCTAAACTTGATCATAGTATAGAAGTCGAAAAAAAAGCTCCAATAAGCTGTCAAAAGTCTGCTGAAATGAATTATCTAAAGAAAACTAACCTTGAAAGGAGAGAACATAAGACATTCACTTTTTATCAACAATCAAAAAAAGGCTATAAGTGCACAACTTATCCTGATAGTTTTAGAGATCTTGAATTCGAAAGAAAAGTGCATAAGGCACCTGATTACTGTAAAAAATCTGCTAAAAATGAAAGTAAACCAGAAAAAGTCAATATAAAAATCTACCTAAAGGCACCAAGTATCTTTAAACCAGGCAATAAAAGCAGTAATGAAGCCGATGGCTTAAATAACAATAAGAAAGGAAAAGCTAACGGTGTCAAAGATGGAAAAGCCAGGACAATTGATGAAGAAATCTCAAACGAAAAGTATAAAAAAGATGAAGAGGGTGAATACAAGGCATTTACTTATTATCAAAAATCAGCAGATATGGGCAATGCTGATGAAGCATACAGCCCTGAACATTATGACCAAAACAAAATTGGACTCAAAATAAACAAGCATAAAGCACTCAATTATTACCAAGAAGCTATAGAATTGAATCATGCCTGTAAATCTTGGATGGAAAGAGCAAATAAACTTAAAAGGATGATCAAGAATGACATAAGCAAAACGGAAAAGAATCTATATCTAAATAATTCAGATGAGTTTCAACAATCTGCTAATACGAATCATAATCTTGATTATTGTTACGACAATAATTCTAATTAATTGATAATCCATCGATCATCTGGAGAATTTTCTATACTACTGTGTAATGCAGATCATATATAATTAAGACCCGTATTGAAATTTTTGGGTTATATATAACATTGCTAAATTTGTAAGCAAAGCCAGTATCAAAGTAGTACAAGAAATAGTGCAATATTACAAGATCTCGATTACAACGTTATAGGCTGTCAACCTTTTTTTTGATAGACTTTACTTTGTAAGCACGTGGTATTTACTATGTTAGATTTCTGTTTAATTAGATCTATAGATCCGATCAAGTATTTAGTATATCTCATTTTTGGTTTACTTTATAACAAATTTTTTAACTCTTATGTCCATAAGAACACATTCAACCTAGAAATAACGTTAAAAGTGGATTTTTTAGAACGCTACTACCTTAACTAGTATCAAATCAAGCAATTTTTCTTCAATTTAGCTTTAGTTGAAATTCAAAAGCATAAGAACCGAAAGTGACGACCGTAACGGAACGTCAGATAAATTTTGATGAACAACTTGTATTTGGATCTGTAAATATTACCATTGGGGTAGCGAACTTAGAGTCCCAAATGCTCTTATGCAGATTTTTTATGACAAAGGTGTATTATACAAATTTTATTGCCAAAATTTCTTGTTTGAGAACAACTTTCAATAGTACTAATAGAAATTTTATTCACTTTCAGAATCAAACTCATCTTCATGTTCAGGCCCAAGCTCGTTTTGACTTAAGCTTGCTTTTTGTTGCGGTTTTCTTAAAAGTATAAACATATGAGCCTATCCAGTTTTGTATAGTAAAAACTTTTAGAATATCCTCTTTTTCTATGCTTCCATTTTCAACATATTTTAAGAGTTCATCATGCATGGCTTGTAGGCTCATTCTTTCCTGCCTTTTTTGGTTTCCACTCAAAAAAAAACGCTCTAACATCAATTTTACATTTTTTTGATCCTAGTACCGCCCCTGTTGCCTAGCTTTTGGTTACCTTTTAATGCACACCCTTTAGGTAGCGGAAAACTTATGTCTATCTCACTGAAAAATCTATTAGTAAGTGGAGAAATTATAATATTTATTAGATTTTTCAATGCCTACCTTGGAATCGCTATTATAACTATAGGGTCTGAACAAATTGATTTGGTCATTTGAGTAAAATGTTTAAGATGCATTATATAAGTATACTTGAGTTATTACTTACTATTTATCCTATTTTCGCTTTTTTCTTCTTTAGTTTAATCTTCACTAATTTCATCTTTTTAGTTTTCAAACAATTAGAATTATCTTTTAGTAAGGTGGATATGCCTAATTTGGCGCGGTGCCTAATTCGGCGCACTAACTATATCTTACAAACTGTCGATCAGAATCACGTGATTTTGGTACTATTCGATTCGCCTCATCGAGACGAATCGAATGGTGCCAAAATCATATGACTCTGATTAATAGTTCACAAGATATTATCATTTAACCAAAATAGCCCACATATAAGGTAGATATGCCTAATTGGCACAGTGCCTAATTCGGCGTACAAACATTATCTTACGAACTGTTGATTAGAATCATGTGATTTTGGTACCATTTGATTCGTCTCATCGAGACGAATCAAATGGTACCAAAATCATATGATTCTAACCGATAGTTCACAAAATATTACATTAGAAATCTTTAATACGCCGAATTAGGCACTGTGCTAAAATAAGACTGTGTTTTAGATAAACTTTTAAAAAGTGATATCTCGTGATTGAATGATCGAAATTAGGTGATTTTGGCGCCATTCGATTCATCTCGATATGACAAATCGAATAGTACCAAAATCATCCAATTCTGATCGACATGGCACGTGATATCCGTCGTAGAACTTAACCGCACCGAATTAGGCATATCCACCTTATATAAATCAAATATTATAGGATATGTTTTAATACCTTCTTCGTTATCGTCTATTAGAATTGTCCATGCGGATTCTGGTATTGTATGCTCCGATTTAGATGGCTGTGGTCGATGAAAAAAACATTCCAAAGTTTATTCCAATATGCGGGGGCAAAGTTATCCTATTCTCCAATATGAGGCAGCTGACGTGCACAAATATATCCATTATATCTACTATCAATTGGCCATTTCCAATAGGATAACTTTGAAATCCCTTTAATGGTTTTGACTTTAATTTTTTCCACATTATCCACATTATCATCACGATTTGGTTCTATTCTTGCTATTGCAGTGCCAGATAGACCTTTAATTGTCTCTTTTATGTCATCACCTGTCTCCAAATTGCATCCAATCCGTAAATATTGCTTTATTGCATGTGTGATCTTAAAGCAGTGGTAAGTATTAGAAAAAGTATTAGTATCTCTAAACAAAAAAAAAAAGAAAATTTATAATAATACAAGCTACTAACTGCTGCATGGTGTAAATCTATGATTGTTTTTGCTTCTCCAGGTTCTAGAAATAGCCAACTACGAACTTCAACTCCATACTATTCATGCCAATATCTGACTATGGTCATTAACTTGGAATTATGGTAATGGGCCATTGTCAGATATCACTTTAATTCACTTCGGCTTTTTCTTCATTGCTTCGAATACAACTTCAAATACTGATGCCGTAAACCATGCATCCTACTTGGTATCCGCTGACCAGTGATCATATGCTTTAATGTTTATTCCAGATTGATCTTTAGTAAAAACCAAAATGGTATGTAGAGTCCAACCACGTTTTCCGAAAAAGTTACTTTTTGTTTCACGTGCAGATTTGGGCAATATTTGCATTTTATAGTCAGCAATACAAATTGCTCCATCGAAGTTGAGATCAGCTATTGTTGCTTTATACTGGGCATTTAGGTATACTTTTCGTGTCTGATATGAAAGGTAATATAATAGTTTTTCTTTTGATTCTGTGATTTGTAGTTTAATATTTGAAAGTACTGATTTATCCATAAAATCTAGAAGATTAAATAACTTATCACATTTAGAGTATCTTGTTTCGTGATCGTTAATACATTCACCAAATGCATAAGGTAGAAAGTGAGAAATACAGGGATTATATTCAATATAACCATCTGCGCTTTTTCATAGTCTCATCTCATGTCGTTTAAGCTCTTCAAGACATTTTAGAGTTGATTGCTAATAAAAATAATTAGTAAGTACTATAAATATAGTAATATTTTAGGCAGTATTCTTTTGCTAAAATTTTTCGATTTTTTTATAGCAAACATTAGAACTTAATGCTTAAGAATATTAAATTTAGAAAATTTGTTTTTGGACCCTTTTAATGAGGAATGTCATGAGGCTAACTTAAATTTAAAATTAAGCACCAGTAATTAAGCAAAAATATACTAACTATAGAATCATTATCTTTAAAACTAGTTTGTATAATGCTTTTCAAATTTGTAAAAGTTTCATATTCGTAATCATTACATGTTATGCATAATTCACCAAGGTCATCACGGTATTTAAGGTTTGTCGAAGCGGCTAGCCGTGCCATAAAAGTAGTTCTTTTCATACCGTTTGGATAAGTTTCACTAAGCTTTTTCCATAATTTTTCTTTCTGATCACTTAAATATAGAACTGGTAATCCTGTTTTATTATCAACTCGATATAAACTCATCAAAACATTATCTAGATCCTGAAAAAATATTAAAAATTGATTTTCCTGAATGGTGATAAGTTTTAAACAGTTCTTTTGGGTTTTTCCAATGGTGGTGCACCTGGACCATAGAGTCGTGAATGCTTTCTGGCTTTGTTTATGGTATCATTTCCAATTTATTAAACAGAATGCTGCTGAGTTAACAATTGAATACTGTATTATTATTATATATTGTATATAGTTACTTACATTTAGAAATCGTCATATTTGAATTTTAGAGCAATAATTAATAAAATGCAAATTTTACTATCGGATCTCTTTTTGTTCGATAAAAACGCCTCTCGAAAGCTATCCCAAAAAATTGTATCTTTTGAGTCTTGTACTGGCTGCATCATAGTTGAAGGTTTATTTACTTGAATAATATTATTTTTATATAGAGTTTCTAATAATTCTTTGTCAGTAGCAGTGTTTAACGCTTTGCTCCAAAACTCTATTGATGATTCTTTTCTTGAGTAAGGTATTACATTAGTACATCTGCAAGCAGTAAACATTGCCCGCCATGCTCGTAATTTATTGTTTTGTAAGCTATAATTAGGTGGGTAAATTTCTTGTAATATGAGTGGAAATTGAACGATTGAGCTTTTTTGTTTATACCAGTCAATAAAGAGGTATAGCCAGAGGGGCATTACTCCTCTAGGAATCTTTCGCGATTTTATATGCCGATCAAAAATTTTTTCAAGTTTCTGTCTATCTATTCAATTATTTGCAGTGCATATTGAAGGTTTACTTTTTAATATCTCTATACATTTTTGAACTAGCTCATTTGTAATTCCAAAAAGATATGATCCGATATATTTCTTGTGAAGTTCCACTCGATTCCAGACTTCATCTGCTATTTTTTCTATGATTTTATTAACACGTTCTAATTCCAAATAAATTTCTAGATTGCATTCATCCTCTTCAATTTCAAGAACAAATAAATGCATATTTTGTTGATAATATGCAGTAAATAAAGAAACGAAACCAGCACTGACTTCATGAAATTTATTTTCATATAGATCGCCAATATCTGAAATTAACACATTGAATTTTTCTTCTATACGAAGAAATATAGGAAAAAACTCTATATCTGCGATTAGCTGATGGATAATAACCTTATTATAGAAGCCCAAAACACCTAAATCAGAGTATTCAGTTTTTGTATTATTAAAAACTATATTGTAATATTCTTTAATTGCTTTTGATGAACTTGATTCAGTATTAGATTTAATTTGATCACAAGAATATTGAAAACCCAGCTTTAATAGATTTTGTTCATGCATCTTAATAATGATCATGAAGTTTCTATTGTTAAATTTATACTCAATAATGAAGTATAAACGATAAGGTATTACGAAATTCTTAGTTTCAGTTTCTAATTCTAACTTGACTGTTTCCCACCAGGTTCTAGACCAAATTCTATAATGCAAATTAGGGTCTATGATACCCTTGTTTAAAATGGTTGTAGTGGACTTTTGCTTTTTTGGCATTTTTTTTTTTTTTTTTTTACAAATTATTTAATTTGGTATATTTTTTTTCAAATTTATTAGATGAAAAGTGATAAGAAGAAATTCAATACTTTGAATTTACTACTGTTTTTGTAGTGGTATTTATATGTTTGCAGAAAAGATGTTTTCTTTTTTCAGCTGTTTTTATCATCATAACCGAATTGCAAAGTAATTTTATTCGGCCAATGTCGATTAGGTTGATGCAATCAGCCTAGGTGGATCTAAAAGTTTGGGTCGATCATTACCACAGCATCTCATTATCTTTCATTCAAAATATAAACACTGCCTGAACTTTGCTGTGGTGGGATATTATTATACCTACCATAAGAATCAGAAAATGATAATATTTTAGTATATTTTGAATAAAAAAATAACAAGCGATGATCA